GCCACCGGGGCTTCTCCTCGGCCTGGCGCCCGCCGGTGCCGCTGCCTTGCCTTGCTTTGGCTCGGTATCGCAGGGAGCAGGGGTAGAGGGGCTGAGCCGGGAGCTGCGAGGACGTGGTTTGTGTAGCCCAGAGGGTGTGCTCGTGCTCGGAGTGGGTTTTTTGATGTTCTTGCTGTTTTGTGTCTTGCCAGAAGGTTGTGCGAGGACCGAGGTTACCTGACCCGGCTGAGCCTTTGTCACATTGGAAGCGAAGGGTTCGTGCTTCCTTGGAGTAAAACTAGCAAAGTGCATGTGCTCAGTGATCTGCTGCAGCCGTCTAGTTTTTCACTTTGAGTTGCCAGTTTCCAGTATGTTCTACAGGAGATAATTTTTTTCTTCACCCCTCTGGCTGTTGTCACTTTTTAACTTTAAAAACAATCAAAACCTGCAAAGGTCTCCAGTAGCAAGGACGGTGTGTTGCATTCAGTTAATATGACAGGGCTTTCTGAAGACATTTAAGCGTCCAAGACACCGTTCTTGCAATCCCAAGTTTAACTTCCTGTCTGAGGCAGGCTGTTCTAATGCTTCAGCTCATTTGAAGTCCATAATTTCCGGTGTAATTGTATCTTTTAGAGTTGGACACACTGTATTGCAGTTGAGCTGGAAAAAAAGCCCAGGTGAATGCTTGAACAGGAACTGGTTGCAGAACTGTTGCTTGAAAGTTAAATCTGATTCCTTAATCAGCTGCCTTCTCAAGTTGGTACTCTTTTGGCTTCTCGAGGAGTTGTGTTCAAGCAAAGTTTGTGTGTTGTGACTTTGAGTTTTGTTTTAGCAGCAACAAAAAAAAGGCATTTCACAGATCTCCACATAGAAGTAGCAAAATTACTGTATGTAGTGAAAAGCCTCATCTCATTTAAATTTTGGTGATATTTGGGCTCTCTTTGGGACTGTTTAACTATTTTCCCACTGGGATCCTAATAATTGTTTCATGTCTAGATGCTTGCAAGTTATTTGCTAGATGATTTGAAATGTATTTGCTTAACATCTGTGTTTGTTCAGGTCTTTAGAAAAATGCAAATGGTAACAACTTTCTGCAGTTCTCTCTGCTGGGATTTCTTTTGTCCCTGTTAATAATAGGGTTATCTAGTTATTGCAAGAGTAGATTATGGTTTGTGTAGGAGTTGCAATATGTACTAATAGCTGGTAGCAGTAATTCTTTTTGGTTGTTTTAAAACTCTGAGACATTGTGGCAGTTTTTGGGGATAATGTTTTGTTACTGTGTCTGTAAGGTAAAGAAAAACACGATGTAGCAGTTCTCCCTTCTGATTCCCCAGAACAGTCTGAGCAGTCTTGGATTCATCCCTGGGAAAGGAAATGTGGCTCGGGAAGTTCAGCCTTGTAAACTTGAATTCAGTTTTTTGCTTGCTTGAAAAGTACTGTGCAAAAAAGGCAGATGTGCAGCATTGTGGCTTTTGCTTAACAACAGGACATTCTGTCTTCCTCTCCAGTTATGTGTAATATATGTCTGGATGTTTGAAAATTGTCCTGACTGACTGTGACTCTTGTGTTGTCAGGTTGCAGTTAGGATGAGCATCAAGCTGCAGGCACAGTGAAAGCTTTCCCAGAGTCCTCCCCATGTGGTTTGTGTACCAGTGGCCTTACACTTGCTGGTGTCTCTAACCAAAAAAAAAATACTTCAGGTTGGCATAATTCCCACATTAATTTGTTTTAATGAAGTTGGAATAGAGGAATAAAAAGACTAAGAAGGGGGAAGTACATGTATTTCCCAGAAGGAAATAATCTGCACTTTGTCACCTTGTGATTCTTTCTTCACCCTTCTCCCTTCCCATCCTCTTGCTGTTCACTTATCTAGACTTCATTATTTTTAGATCTAAAAGTGTATTTAGAGTAATGTAATTTCTTGCACAGCACAGCTCATAGCAGTGGAGGTCTCTGTTGAAATCAATGGTTTCTGATTGGCCTGGAGCTGTAGTTTGCAGAGGGTTTGCCCCCATGGATCAGTCAGCTCCTGTGGAGATGATTGTGAAAATACCTGAGAGAAGCACTTCTTTCCTTCTGTCTCTGAATGCATCAATTTGCTCTTCAACTGGAAATTTCATAAGTTTTCAAAGACTGACCATGAATTGGCATTTGTCAGACAGAGGTACAACGTGTTGAAGATAAATGGTTGATGATTCATGACGTCCCTCGGTGAGTTCCAGTGGTTCTCCATCCCTGTGTCACTGCGTGTTCTGCCTGGCATGGGCTTGTTTAGTCTAGAGAAGGCTGGAGCAGCTTCATCCCAGCCCCATCTCTGTCAGGCTGTTATCAGGAGAGTGGAGCCAGGCTTTTCACAGTGGTACCCATGGGAGAACAGCACACAAGGGGCTTAAATTGGAACAGAAGGGATTTGGATTGGACATGGGAGAGCTGCCCTCTGCATGAGGGTGGTCAGGCAGTGGAACGGGTTTGTCTGCTTTGAGCTGGAGGAGGTCCCTTACAACCTGCATTATTCTGTGATCATTTGCATAGCTTCTCCTGTTGGGTGTGTATCCTTTGCTAAGGGGATGATCTGTTATCAAGTGTTGGTGGAGTTGAATAGGTGACCTGCTTGAGAGATTAACTGGTCCTGTGATGCTGGGTCCATTGTGTTCCTAGAAAGCGCTGGAGACACTCCTGTCTTTGCAAGTTTTAGTGGAAACAGAAAAGAGACTGAAGGAAAAATAGTCTAAAGCTGCTTGCTGTTTTAGTTTTTTTACCACAGTCTAAACACTGCTCACTCCTTAATCTGAGCAACCTAAAATATCTGCGTGGTAGTAAAATTGCAAGAGTATCAGGAACTGAAACAACTTGTCCTTATTTGCTCCTGTTAATCAGTAGTGAAGGGTGCAGCAACTGATGGTCTGAACCACGTTTGTTGTGAATTCCCATGTACTCCTGGACCAGCAGCACCTGCTTAAAGGCTGTGTTTGTGCTCTCTCATTACACTGATTCTCAGATCTTCCAGAAAACAAGCTTGAGTTTAACTTCGGTGAAGTGGTGTGTAGGGCCAGCTTACATATCCAGGGAGCATGGTTTATTTATGCTGGGATTACCTGCAAAATAAATATAGTCATAACTGAATAATAGAAGGCAATTTGCTCTACTAACATATTAGAATGTATTGGTTTGAGGTTTTTCCTCTTTAAATTCAGTGGTTTTTTCCTTGATGTGTTGCAGACTAGAAAGACTTTATTGACTTTATTTGCCTGTGATGGTTGTTCATTGATTCTTTGAATACAGCCTGCTTTTTAAATGTGGCAATCCCTGGCAGACCACCTGTGTTTTATTTAGCAGTTTATATTCTACTACTGTGCACACTAGTTTTTGTTGACTTTTTCAGAAAACGTAGTATTCTTTAAAAAGTGCAGGCTTGCCATGCTCCAATTCAGAATGAGTTAATTTTTTTTTAACTGATAGGAGCAAGCTTACATATGTCCAGGTCTGATAATGCATTAAAGCATAACTGCTGGTTGAAGCAATTTTTTGTTCTTTCTCCATATTGCAGGAATGTGACAGTAACCCACCTCCTCCAAATGTCACTGGTGCTTATGTGTTTCAGAGAAGGCAGTCTGTCTGTTGGCAGGTGACCACTGCTTCCAAGTAAAAAAGTGCTTTTCTTTAAGTTGCACTTCTGGTGTTGCCACTTGAACAGAAAGATGGACTTTGTGCTGCAGCAAGCTGACAGAGAATCATCTGCAGATTGTTTCATGGTTTCCTGCTTGTGAAGGAAGCAATAGGGAGAGGTTTTATCCAGAGGTTTTATCCAAACCTGTGGCAGCAATGGGTCTCCTAAGGACTGTGTTTCCCTTAGGAGTTATGGGCAGTGTTGGTGTGCTTGTGCTAATCTCTTACACTCAGAGCTAAGGCAGGAAGAGGGATGACTGTAGACAGGAACACTGAAGCTGGGGCAGGCAGTGGAAAAGATGCTGTATTTTTGGATTTTGTGGACAGAAAATCTTCTACCCAAGGCCAGTGTAACCCTAGTTTTATTCCAGGTCACTCGTGGCCCTTGTGAAGCCTCTGTTCCCTTCTAGGCTTCCTCTGTCTCATACCCTGATGCATTTTCCTCCTTGGTGCTGCTCTTGGCTGGGTCCTGCAGCTTCACCTGGTATTGGTGCCATCTGCCACGTGCCAGAGCAGATACTTGGGATGTGATACCTTGTAGGATGGGATTTGTAGGAATCATAGCAAGGGGTGAGTAGAGGGATGGAACTTACACTTGATGTGTCAGTGTGTGGCCTGTCAAAGGTATTGGAAAATTTGATTTAGGTGTCACTGTGCAAAAGTCCCCTGCAAAGCAACAGTCCCAGTTCTGCAGTGTCAGCAGGTACCTGTTGAAGACAAGAGTTGCTGGGAGCTGCAGTTTTTGTGCACTGTACTGGGTTTCAGCTTCATCACTGACTGCTGGGTGTTTTTTGGGGTGGGGATAAACTCTCCAGTATGAGCAGATTCCAAGAAATCGAGTGAATAATGTGAGTTAAAGTATTGCACCTTTGTGTTGGTAGCTCAGCTTTCCTGCTCTGCTTTTGTGAAGAAGCTGTTAATCAAATGGACTGTGATGTTCTTAAGTGGATGTGAGGAGGGAGGTTTGGTTTGAAGTGACAGGCAAGAAAATTAGTTGTCTTAAGCAAATTATCTCCTTTTCCATGGGGAATTAAGGTGGAATATCTTACACATACACAGTAGTAGCTTTCAGCAGGTGCCTTTAAAAGAACAGGTGTGCCACATCTTACATGCTTTCTAGGTTATTGCAACTTCTGTCTGGCTTTATATTAACTGAATATTCTTGTCTCTGTAACCAGACTTTGAGTGAACCATGGACAGATTTAGCTGGATGACTGAAGCAATTCTGTGTTGTCCTGGTGTTTGACAACATCAGAACATGTGCAGTCCTCCTGGCTTTCCAACAGATCTTAAAAGCCTTTTATATTACATTTATCTCATTAAAACATTGTACTGATAAGTGTATCAATACAATCTTGCATGGGTTGTGTCTCACTGAAAGGGACTGGGCTTGATGACACAGATCATTCCCATCTTGTTCTTTCTTTAGGTACATCTCTAAGCTTCTTAGACCTGTAACGACAGGCAGAAAACACAAGACAGTGTGGAGGAAAAGGTGATGAATCAGAAGAGGAAAATAAAAAACCTTTCCAGGGAGAGAGAGTGTTCAGCAAAACCATATATGAATGGCACAGGAAAGAGTAAGGTTGTAACAAACAAACAGAAAAAAAATTAGTCAAAGATCATTAATTTCAGCCACATTTTTTAGCTTGTTCTCATTTCTGACAAAATCAACATTATAACTCTTCTAATTTATGCTGGTTTTTTATTTATTTAATAGAATATTACCTATCAAAACACAGATATGTTTTTAGGAGGAGATAGCAAGCTGGCATGCTAATCTTTGGATTTAGACACCGTGGTTCTACTTTCCATATTTAAAATATAAATTCCTTCATTCCTTGCAGTCTCTAAGGCTTTCTCACAGTTTTAGGATTGAACAGGAGGCATCTGGTGCTTGAGTGAGGCTCTTGTGCCTTGAGGAACTAAATGAGGTGCAGTGCTAGTGTAAAGCTTGATCTTGGGTTTGCATGATGGTACAGTGAACTGTTCAGGGTGAATAAACATCATGTGTGTGGGGAAATTTAATTTAGCAATAGCTCACTTGCTTTAGCTCCAGGAGAATAACCTGGTGGTTTTCTTGCTGTCCACGACTTCATTTCAGTGTTAGATGTTTGACTGTTGAGCATTAATACTGTCAACTAGACTTGCACTTGAATGTTTAGGAATGATGCCCAGTAGTGATGTGAGTTCATGGGTTGAAGTTGAATCTTTGATGGTCCATAAAAAGTGAATCAGGATGATTTTCAGCTGTGCTGATTGTCAGCTCCCCCACGACCATCCCGAATGACACAACTCTGGGTACTCACAGGACTAGACTGGGAACAGCAGGCATCAAACCTAAATCCTAGAACCCTGAAAACATGGATGCTACCTGCTGTTATGCCATGGATCCATTAAAAGAGATTTACTCTTCTATAAGTCTGGCCAAATTTATGTAACCTTAAAACTTCCAGCCAGGAGTCTGAATCCATTTCAGTTCCTATTTGTATGAGTAGAGCTCAGACAGCCAAAGGCCTGAAATACAAAAAGAGCTTTCTTGTCCAACTATGCACAGAAAACTAGGCCTGGGAATATCCTCTGTGAATATCTTGGGAATGTGTATTTTGCTTCTCTTAGAAATTTGTCAAATCTGAAACAAGTGTGTAAGTAATTGACATCTAAAGGAAACCAAAATAACTGTCATGTCCTATGTCCTAAAACAGAATTTCATGCCTTTTAGACTTGGCAGTGCAATTCAAACCTGTAGCTCCAGGATTCCTGGTCAGGGATTACAGAGGGGGACTGGTGGCTGGCAGATCTTGATGTTGAGCAAATATAGTTTGCATGAAGTAAACTCAGATCTTAAAATATAATGTAGTGGGTTTTGAATGCAGGATTTTTGTGCTTTGAATTTTAGCACAATTCTTCATTCTTTCAGAGAGAAATCAGGATAAATAAAAATGAATTTGCTTTCTTGAAAAATGCAGTGGTGTAGTAAAGCCATCATCTGTGCTGATGGTGTGTGATGGTTTGTAGGCTGGGTCTGTGTAGACTGCTGTGCATCCTGTGTGTTTAATCCCTCTAGAATAGAGGGACTCGTGTTCAGAAGTGTGGGATGCCTCCGAGCTTCCAGCAGCTTCAGTGGGAGCTGCAGATTTTCACCACTGTGAAAAATCATGGTCCGTGTCTGGAAGTTACTACAGGTTCAAACATAAACAGGGAGTGTACTCCAGCCTCAGTGACAGGATAGAAGAGGATGGGCAGAAGCATTGTGTTAAGCAATGAGCTAGTGAATTAACTCCTGTTAGGTGCCATTGAAAGGACTCTTAGATGGACCTGTGGATGGTGAAATAGAGGAGCTAAATAGATGAATCAGTTGGTGTAAAGCCACTTGCAGACAATCCATATTAACAGGTCAAGTCGAAACAGCAAGTGCTTGCCAGCTTTTTCAGGTGGTGTAACTTCTGCACTATGTGAAGATAAGGTGGTATATGAAGCCAAGGTGGTAACACTCATTTTTGTTCTCCTTCTCCACTTTTATACCTGAGATGTGACCTCACACTGAAATAGCACCACAAACCAAATGCTGTAATAAGGAACTAAACCATTCGGTATCCGAGACTTTTTTATTTACAAAAGTCTAGGATACAGAGGTGAGATTTGCCCTACTTATCCCAAAGAAAAATTCAGGCCAGCTGACAGGATTTGTGTTTGCCAGTGCTAATACTTGAGCCAAGTGTTACGCTTATTCCTGTGATCCTTCTGATGATTTTGTTGGTTGTTTGTTTGTTTCCCAGTCACTGGCTCTGGGTGAGGATTCAGAATGGGAGACAAGCCTATCTGGGAGCAGATTGGGTCCAGCTTCATACAACATTACTACCAGCTTTTTGATGCAGACAGGACTCAGTTAGGAGCAATATATGTAAGTATCTACAGAAGGGGGGCTGGGGCTCCGTCCCATTATCTGTCCGTGTTTCTCTGTTTTGGGGTGTGAGAATACAAATGGTTGGATAGTGGGTTTTATCCTGACTCCAGAATGTCAGTCAGTGCAATCACACCCAACATTTTTTTATATTTTTTTTAATTTATGTTTCATTTCTCCTTTAAGCTTTGTTTGCCTTGTAGGCAGTCAGACTCATAAAAGCCCTGTTTGGCTGTAGACAGTGGCTTGTATTGGAGGGGGTTGGTGATGATCCTCTGATGAAATGCTCTGTAAAAGCAAACATTCTGGCCTCAGTCTGCCATTATTTACAGCCATGGATTTGCTTGGATCCCTCTTGAACTGGGATGTAATTTAAGTCCTACCCTGTGTTTAGCGGTTCTTTCAGGTGTTTCTTGGATCTCACGCTCTATTAAGTCTTGAATCCAGTTTAAAAAATGTATAATTTGTTAAATAAATCTAAATCTAATTTAAATTTCCTCAAAAATCAGATTTTTTTTATTTTTGCTTCTTATCTGGCACAAAGGAGATTTGTGATTAAAGACTGTAACTAACAAAGGCATGGAACAGCACCTTTTGGGGGAGGATTCCTCCAGAGCATGCAGAGTGCTCTGTGTGTGGAGTTGATTACTGATGGTGAGGAATGCTGCTGGGTGGCTGAAGTGTTTCAGGAAGACACTCAAGTCTTACAGGTCTTCTAGTAGCATATCCTGTTTTTCTGACTGGTTTTTCATCTCCTGAATGAGTTGAGTTTCTGCAAGCTCTTCAGGATTGAACTGTTAAACACCCTCTGACACCTCTCCTTATACCTCAGCAGTATCCAGCAGCACTGATAGCATTTGCTCTGGGCATTGTTGTGTTCTTGCCACCTGCCAGATTGTTGCTTTATTTTGCCTGAGAAGTTGTGTACAGAGCCTGTAAAGGAAGAAAACCAAGCAACCTCTGTTAAAGCCACAGCTCTAAATATGAAGGCTCTTAGCAGTTTGTCACGTTGTTACCAAAATACATTCAGTCCTCAGAAGACTAATTTAAATTCCTGGAGACATGTCCTTCCACACTACGAACTCCTGGCCTTTTTTTCAACCTTAGAGTCTTTCTGCCTTTCATGGAGAGACCTGTGCACATGTATTTGGGAGGACAGTTATGGAGGTCACTGATATGTATTGCTTTGTGGAGTTCCTAACTATGAAGAGAGAATGGGACCCCATTCTGTGTGGCTAAAATGCACCAAATTCACAATTTGTCTAAATTTGGGGAGATTTTGCAGAACTGGGCTTTTAACAATGAGCTTTTTGCCTTCAGACACGCTGTAGGAGCAAACAAATTTTGTAGCATACAGGAATGCAGCAGGGAGCTCTTGGATTTGGTTTGTATTCCTGTATCACTACTTCCATCACAAGATTCAGCTTACTTTTACTGGTGTAATCCAAGTCAATCAAGCTTTTGTCACCTATCCCAGGCAGGGATGTGGCCAGTCACTTTTGCTGTGAATTGTTTGAGTTAGGTGAGTTGGAATACCACCCTTGTGGTGCAACTCATTTAGTCAGTTTTCTTCATATATTTTTCTCTCTCCACATGCTTGACTTTGTGTCCATAGGATTTTTTTTGTATCCTTTGGATTTTCTTCTAAAAGCTAACTTTGATCCAAAGGCAGGAACTTTTTTGCAGGTAGGACCATGATAATGAAATGTAGTCTATTTAGGTTCTAGTTGATTGTTCCAAACTTTTTCAGTTGCTCTTGGTGGTTTCTTCCTATCTCCCTCTGAGGTGGTTTTCAAATAACTGGATTCTAAGGCTATATCCTAAATAAACAAAGCCTCTTACCAGGATTGCTTGAGAGTTACCTGAGCAGGTTGCTGACTTTGTTTCTTTCCCCCCCAGATTGATGCATCATGCCTTACGTGGGAAGGACAGCAGTTCCAGGGCAAAGCAGCCATTGTTGAAAAACTCACTGTAAGTCTGTAAACCTTACTGAATGTTTTGGGAAACAGTTCTGAAGACTATAAGATAATTGCTTCTGAAAATCTGAGTTAGTCTTGAATAAGGAACTTGTGCTTCCAACTTTGATCTTCCAAATGTTGTGAATTAATGCTACATAGTGGGGTGTTCCATTGGTGACTCTAATGGTGGAGTTTTAATTAACTCCATAGTTTGCAAGGTTATTTTGTGACTGCAATTGTATTTGACATTACTGATTTATTCTTTTTTAAAAGGTCTAATGCATAAGCTGCCTCTGATCTAGAGGAATGAAAGGTGTCTTTGCTCTTTTAAGGCATGCCAAGGAAGAAGCAATAGCAAGCCTGTTACTTGGATCTGTCTGTGATAAAGACTAGACACATAACTGCAAGGAACAACTTGTTTTCTGATACGTAAACTGCAAATAAGTTCTGTAGTGGAGAAGCTGACTTATCCTCAATGCAGATTTGTCAGCAGTTCAGATATGAGCAGGTATGGTTCAGGACTTTGCAACATGTGTTTCCTCTTCAGCAAGTGAGAGGACACTGGAATTCTATGTTCATTTAGTTAAACTTGGAGAAGTTTTATCTTCCTGAGTAAATTCATGCTTCTGTTATAAAACTGGGTGTACTTACAAGCTGTCATGAGACTAGGAAGTTTGTTTCTCTTTCAAGATACGTGAAGGACATGCTTTTTAGGTCATCAGACAGTCTGCTCAGAGCATGGTATTTCAGACAGACGTACTTAACACTGAGAAGAAAAATCAGTGTAACTTGACACTCGTCTTGTTGCACAGCTACTGCTCCTGTCTTATGGAATCACTCCTTTCATCCAAGGCATCTTTAACTGTGAAGACCAAGGTTTGAGCTCAGGTCTGTGTTTTAGGTGCCTGTCTTGCCTTTGAGAAGGCCACACACCTCAGAAATAGCACAGCTTGCAACTGCTCGCTTGGAGGTGAGGAGATACTCAAGCTCCAGAGTTGTTTGTTTGCGTACTCAGTGTTCTTTAGACTTCTGGGCTAGCAGCCATTTAGATACCCAACCAGCTAAGCATTTGCTTGGCCACAGTGTCTGACTGCTGCCTTGGATCCAGCCCAGTGCAGATCCAGCCCCTTTCCCACCACAGCATTGCTCATCTTTACCTTCCCTGTCTGTGGTGCAAGTTGGACTTTCTGGATTTATGTGCCTGCCGCAGTCTTAACTGGTGAGTGAAGACACACTGCTTTGCTTTAGGGAAACTTTTTCTGACTTGTATTCATCTGCTTAAAGTAAGGAAGAAGTGCAGTGAAGTTACTGTGCCCTTCCACTGCCCCAACTCGTTACGGGGCTGTATCAGCTTACTGTGACTGATGTCGCCCAGCATTCCTCTGCCAGCACTGAGCTGCCTGGGCTCCCTTTGCTGTTTCAGCTTCATGTGCTCACCTACTCTGTGCTTCTGGAGCTGCTTAGTCAGCTGAGCAGATCCCTGAAAGTGTGACACTGAAATTCTTTTGCTTTCTGCAGTCCTGTGTCCCTCAGGGCCTGGCTGGTGAATCGATGTAAGCACAAACAGGTGGCGTTTTCTTTTACGTCAAATTCTTTGCTGTGTAGCAGCAATGCTACGGCACCTTTTCAGTCTACTAATACAGCAGGGGAGGGTTGTGTGGGCATTGCTCTGCCAGCACTGGCAGACCTGTACCTTGTTACACTGTGGGAGGTGACACTTGTTCCTTGTGTCCTAACTGGTGCTGGGCTTGTTTCACTTACAGTGCCTGTGCTAATTATGGGCAACTTGATTTACCATTTGAGATAATAATCATGTAGTTCTGTGAACATACTGGACCAAGGAAGAAGGTGAGACAGGTAGCCTTGTTGCTAGGAGTGAGTTTATGCTACTCAGCTTTATTCTTGCATAATTTCTCTTGTGTGACTTCAAGGACGATTTCATCGTTTTGCTAGTGAGAGCCCAGTCAAACTGTAGTGTCAGAGGATGCTAAAAGCCTTGGTTGTTGTGTGACTTCATGCTTTTTAGACACATTTATTTGTACTTTTCATATCACAAAATCCTCCTCTCCAGTGTAGATGGATGTCCATAAGCAGCCATCCTTTTGAAATACCCTCTGCTTATCCTAAAAATTAATGAACTTTCCTGTCAGCTACTTTCCTACTCTTTCCACTGGGATTTCCCCCAGCACATCATGAGTAGCTCACTAGCCTGGCCAGCTGCTTGGGGTTCTTTTCTCTGAAGGGAACAGTAATAGAATCATTAAGGTTGTAAAAGACCTTGAACTGAACACTACCTTGTTAAATAAACCACAGCACTAAGTCCCATGTCCAGTTGTTTCTTGAACACTTCCAGGGATGGTGGCTCCATCACTTCCCTGGGCAGCCTGTTCCAATGCTGAACCACCCCTTCAGTGAAGAAATTCTTCCTGATGTCCAACCTGAACCTCCCCTTGTGTAGCTTAAGGCTGTTTCCTCTTGTCCTGTGGAATCGGGTACTTGAAACAGGCACTGTCTTACCCAGCCTAGTCTTTGGTTTCTTGTCACAGTTTTGCAGAGCTCTTGATTCCAAAGGCTTTCCTTCCTCCCTGTTTTGTCTCCCCAGTCTTGCCTCTCTTGTCACACTGAAAGCTGGATTCTGGACACAATTACATTCATTCCTCTTCATCCCTCTGCCTTTTAAAGGGGTCTTTTTGCAGGACTTGTTCAACAAGAAGCTGCTGTGCTGAGATGGGGCTGGGCTTTGTAGTACTCTTTTTTATAAGGAAGATGGTGCAATGTCCCAGGCTATGCTTGTGCAGGCTGTGTGGGCACATTGCACATTCAGTTTTGGGATGGTGACCCTGGAAAATAGTCTGTTGGTCATCAGTAGATAAGACTGCTCTGGATTTTTTTTTTTTTGGTTGTTACTAAATGTCTGTCCCATATTACAAACCAGTTGGCCCGCTTTGCACTTCCTAGTTGGTTGGGATTGTACTCTCAGCCAGGCAGAGACACCACAAGCTTTAATAAAGGGTGTTCTTGAACAGTGAGGGCTTCTCTGCACACCTCATTTGCTTCCTCAGGCCCTGATCCTTCCACAGTTTCTGTGTTCTCTATTATCCAAAGATTTAGCTTCCTGGAATTATTCCTAGAGCCTTATGCTTGTAGAGCCAAGACTGTACTTCACATCTGTGACAGTCTCCACCTTGGCCTTCTAGGACATCTTTGAGGCTCCTTCCACTAGAGGGAAATGCAGAACTTGTCAAAGTACATGTTTGGGTCTTCTTTGACCTGTTTTTAAATGAGGGGAATGCAGCAAAGGCATCCAAGTGCCACCTGAGGTTTGAATGACCATGTGCTGCCATCCTGTGCAGTGCCTGGGCTCTGGGCATCAGCCACATGGTCACCCAGAACCCCATCCATGCTGAACTGCCCCTAAAGCATCTGGCAGTAAGGCAGCTCTTGGGAGAGCAATGCCAAAGTTGCATTTGTGTGACAGAACTCCGAGACCCCCCAGATATTTGCTGTTCACCACTTAGAATTGTCCATGGTCGGAATGTGGACGTGGTCTAAGTGTCCACAAGATGTGTTCCTTGCACACATAACTCCAAACATACTGACATTGGCTACCTGAGCATCAAGGAAATTAAAAAGGGGAAAGGTGAATTGTGGATTTCAAGTCTGGAATACTGGTTCTGGCTTGTCCACTTTTCCTTTCCATTCATAGCCACTTTAACAAAGAAGCAAATTCGAAGTTCTCTGGTAAACCTCAAGTATTAGATGATAAAATCTTTTAACACTGTTCAGAGCAGAGGTTTGTGCCTTCATCGTATGAACTTTGAGCTTACAGCTGATCTGAAGCCCTTCAGGCAGTGCAGTTAGAGTAGGAAAAGGTTCCATTTACTATGTATGGTAACATTATTTCCTCTCTTGGTGCTTGAAAAACACAACTGTTACAATTGACCCAGCATAAGTAGTGCCCTCATTTGCAACAACTCTCTGTGCAGTACTGCTACAATAGACTTAACACTGCATAACTTGAGTTTGCTCAATCTTTGTTTTGTAAGTTAAATCATTAAATTACTGTACATTTCCTTATTTTGATCTCTTTTCATTGCAGAGCCTCCCTTTCCAAAAAATACAACACAGCATCACAGCACAAGACCACCAGCCTACACCTGACAGCTGTATACTCAGTATGGTAGTGGGACAGCTTAAGGTAAACTCTTTCCATTACAGGCTAACAAGTGCTTATGTCTTAGATTTTTGCAGGATTCTGAATCATCTGATTTCTGAAAACATTAAAATGCTCTTGTGGGTGGGGAAGGAAGATGGGTAAGTTTTCATTGGGACACCATTCTTCTGCTGTTCAAGACTGTCAAGAAACTGTTCATCCCTCCAGATATCTCACACTAGATAAACCACCTGCAATTTGGCAGTCACATGTTCTGTCCAGCAAAGTGCCATGACTTCTACTGTGCTTACAAATACCATGTGGGTTATAGAGGCATCATTGTTTCCCTTACCCTGATGCAGTAAGGTTTCAGTGCCCTCTGTTGCATTTAAAACCATCATCAAAGTGTTCTTGGACAGTATAAGCACGTGTAGTTTAACATCCTCTTTGTTGTAACGTTTGCATCGAGCTCTGATGTAGCAGACTTCAGTTGTTAGCTGACCACCCTTCAGTGAGTCCACACTTCTTCTTTGCTGTCACAGGACACAAGAATTCAGTCCTGGTGTTAATGCAGTCCAGTACCTCTGTTGTCAAAACTAATTCAGCAGTGGGAATGCTGCCTCTGAGATCAAACACTTAGTGTTGTGACAGATTCATTGTGTGAAGAATCAGATTATTTTTCAGGCTGAAGGATGACTGTATTGCTGTGTGAGTGATACTGCTGAGCCGTGTAAACTTACCCTGTCTCCCAGTATACCAGGGCCACAAATTAATTAAACTGCTTATTAATGAGAGATATTGTCCTGGAATCTGCAAAAAAAAAATATCCTGTGTGTAAAGTCAGCTGTAGGCAGAACTTGCTCAGGGTGGGTGATGTTTGTTTAAAGTCATGAAATTACATAGCAGTAGTTAAAATCATCAGAGTTAGTTTGGTCCAGCCATGCTGTGAAGTCAGGCCTCTCACACCATCCAGTCTTTAGAGTTACCTGAACCCAGTTTGTTTTAAAAGAGCTGTTTAGATTTCCTTTTCCTGTTAACTCTGAATGACACCTCCAGTGTCAAGGCATTCAAACTCCCACTGACACTGTACTATTTACTAAGCAAATGTAGGACTTAAAGTTTGAATCTGCTTGCTTAGCTGTTCTCTTTGTTTTGGGCTGGGCAGTTGAGAAGAGCAGTGGCCAGTGTATTTGCATCCACTTTTAAACCTAACATAGGCAGCTTTGGCTCTCATTAAAGTTGCTCCTGCTTCCCAGCTGCAATTTGGATTCCAGCTTTCCTGTTGTTCAGTCCCACATGCACACCCAGAGGAAAGACAGCCACATGTGACCATGGAAATCACTGAATGGCAGGGCAGGTATGCAGGCACACATGCTGATCTCAGCTTTACTCTTGGGTGTGCACACAATTCTGATATGACCAAGGCTTTTTGACCCAATGTCTTGGGCCAGTCTCATCTGCACCTGGTTTTGCACAGTCATGTTTTTAAGGTTATTGCATAATCATCAAGCAGATCACAGCTTGCAACAGTGATTGGTGTTGAGTCCTTTGGCAAGATACCAAGTTCTTAAAGATTTTCTAAAGCTATTGGGTTTTCTCATCCATTAATACAGAGGGATTGTAAATGCAGTCCAGGAGCTTTCCATAAATACCATGAGTTGGAGTGGTATTTCCTAATGTACCGGTTTTATCCTCTGAATAATTTCAGCGTGCTGAAATTACTCAGAATAATTTAGGGATCACGTGTTAGTGCATCTAAGTATTTGGAAAGAACATACTGGCTTAAAGTGTGCCTGTTGCTGTGATGAAACCAAACTTGTTTGTGAATTTTTAGTAAAAGAGGAAACATTTTTCTGCCCTTCACGTGCATGTGTCTCAAACCTTAGCTTTAAAAATCACATCATAATCCCTGGGAATGCTGCTTCTCACTGAACAGGTGTCCAGAAAGTCAAAGTGAACTTAGAACTTTAACTTCATGCTTCTGCCTTGTGTGAGGCTTATACAGGTGGACAAATGAAAGATCAGTACCAGTCTGTAGCCTGATGTGAACATGAACCTGCCAGCACGTGAACCTGGCTGTCAGATGGAGTGAATACTTCTTCTGGTGTGAACTCATACATGTTGACAGCCACTTCAGTGCTGGGCTATGTACAGTACAGTGACTGAGAGCAACAAGGGGCTCATCTGTAGCTCCAGTTGAGCAGGGAAGACTTTAACATGCAAACAGGGAGCTGCACACTTGTTGTTATTTAAAGCCGCCTTCTTACTGGTGTAGCTGCTCAGCCCACATCTGTTGGTCTATAAGGAAACTAGAGAATTTTGCACAAGGAAGGGCACTTTCAAGACCATCAGTAGCAAAGTTTGAAGGGAAAAGCCATGCTTGCTGCTTACTGTTCAGTTATCCTTTTCATGGAACTGTGAGCCAAATTCTTCAAAGTCCAGGACAATTAATGCACATGCTTTTAATCCTCTGCAGTTTTTCAAAACTTGCATTGTTTCATGTAATGAAGGAGCATACATAATGCTTTTAATAGAGTAACCCAAGAAAATAATAGTGCTGAAATACCTGTAACATGCCCTTTCTAAGTTATCGTTCCTGGCATGATATATAAATGGGTTTTCTGAGGCATTAGTTGCTTGAATTGCTGGTAGTCCCAAAAGTTCAGTGGAAACATTGTTCATTCTGAGAAAGCTGGGCACATCTTGTATTTCTTGCTTAAACCATTGGAGAGGGGGAAATAAACCAAAGCACAAAAACTTTCACTGTAAAAAACATGTTTCTAAGTAAACATATGAAAGATCCTCTTTTAGTGGTTGCTGAGATAGGTGTTAATGTCTGGGGGGGTTTTTTATCCTTTTGAAGAGGTATAATAAATATACATCCACTTATTCTAATCCTGTTGGTTTTTATTGCTGTTCATTGTCTGGGGGCTGCTTGCTTGCTTCAACTAGGAGGAGTAAGGATGGGTTTAAGCCTTTAGGAGTGAGTTCCATTTGGTGTGACACTGCTTTGCTGATGTTCCCCCAGAATGTCACCCCGTACCTCCACTGTGCTTCACCTCGTAACATATTTCTCCTGTCACGCTCAGGCAGATGATGACCAGGTTCTAGGCTTCCACCAAACCTTTTTGTTGAAAAATTTTCAAGGTGCCTGGGTGTGCACCAACGAAGTCTTCAGGCTATCCCTCCACAACGTTTAACCCTCTGCCTTACCTGTCTTCCATGCAGTCCTCGCTGTCCTGGTTGAGTAAGGAGTGCTCTCTTCTGTCCCTTGAGCATGGCTGTGGCTTGGCATTCTCAGAGCCGTGTGGCAGATCTGTGGCTCTCCCCAGAGTGTGAATTTTGAAGTGATTGCTGCAGAATTAATTGTGAATAACTAATTGTTATGCGGTGTTTCCTAGTCTTAAAAGGAAAAGGAAATTTGCAATTAAAATCACTGGATGTTTTTGTAATGCATGCTGAATACTTAAAGCATTGCTTAAAGCCTGTTAAATGAGGCTTAACATGTGAAAGAACCTGCAATCTGAAGTAATTAGCCTTTCCTTTGAGGTGAGGGTTGTTGCAACACTGCAGTTCAATCCACAGTTGCTGGGGATGCTGGTGAAGGAGTAAAACTGTCTCTGACCAGACAAGAGGAGGAAAGTTGTGCAGCTACATTTGGATTGCAAAGCAGTCTTGCATCTAAAACTCTGACGTGACCTATGGCTCTTTTGAGCCTCCAGGTCAGAAGGGATGTAGAAAAACTGGAAGAGGTCGAAAAGCTGCCAGAATTGTAGGTGTTGAAGAGCTTGTGGAGCTGGGAGAGGAGGCACGGCCTGAAATGTGGGTAGAAAACAGTTGAATACTTCCAACAACCTAAGAGCAAACTCTTCATGGTGGTGCCAGATGATGGAACAAGGGACAGTGGTTAGAAACCACAACTTGGGAGATACGGATTGGACACAAGGGAAGATTTTTGATAGTCCAAATTTTGGGAATGGACCATAAAATATTTACCCTATCTTAAATACAGTCTAGGATTTTCCTTGTTTTTCAAGTATACTGCTCTTTTGTGCTGTGAATACATAACATGAAAGGAATAAAGAAAACAATAATGTTTGACTTCATTATGGGAATTTGCCATCTCTACTACAGCAAGTGTTTTGGGAAAGAATTCCCTTTTAATCTTTTTTTCATGTGTCTGGTCCTGAATTGCTTAAGAAAGGAGGAAATTTTCCTCAAGCCAAAGTACCAAGAGCTACAGTGCTTTTGCCAGAGCCTACTTAGGCTTATCAGAAACTGAGGAAACCTGCACTAAGCCAGACTGGTGGTGGTATTTTTTTTCCATAGGCATATTTTAAAACCTGCTCGTGTCAGTAATGACAAGGTCCAATTTGGTGTGAAAACAACTTGTAATAGATGCCTCAGTGATCCACAATGAAGAGACCACAGGGCAACTGAGGGCTGAGAACCTTCCAACTCCCAAGCAGCAGTGAGGCTGTACTGGGATGTGCTACATTTGATACCTGGGAGAAGGTGCCAAAGGCACAGACCCCCAGGTTTCAGGGCACAGGCCACCTCTGCAGCACTGACACCGAGCCTCTCTTCTGGGCAGATGTGGCAAGGATAATACTTCCCTTGAAAGAATTGGCACGACTGCTGTTATAGGTGCTAATCAACTAGATGGGCTGGGCTAATCCAGCCTAATTGCTTGTGTGCACACTGGGCTCCTTACTCATGCTCAGGGAGGTGTGTGCTGAGGAGCCAAGCTGCCCGGTTCCTCTGTTGACATTTGTCTTGCTTGAAGGATTTTTCTTTCATTCACTCATCTCTTGAACACTGACTTGCTTATATTTCTGGCCTTACTTGTTGCCTTCTTAACTTCTGGCTGTACTAGTTTCCTTCATGGTTTTATAGTAATTTTTTTGCCTTGCCCAGCTGATGCCAGTGCTGATGACATTTTTGCAAGCTACAGGGTTGTACTCAATTTACTTTCTTCAGTAGGAAACTGTCTGGTAGCTGGATCATTTTTCTTGTCCTTTTCTGACATTTTAATTTTAATTTTTTTTTAAAGATAAGAAATGCATGTTTGATATGTGGGTGTTGGTTCTCTGTTCCTTCCCCAATAACTGCTAACCCTGTGCTTACCTTAACAGCTTTTGGGCACTCAGCTGGTTTAATAAATAAATATCCATCGTTATTTCAGTATCACTTTCCTGAGGGGTGAACCTAGAGCCCTTTTTGGTTTTCCTCTGTGAATTAGCATACACTTACTGAAACTGCCCTTCATCTGTGCCATTTAACTTCCTGGGCAGTTGTCACTGAAATCCTTGCAGTGGTTTTTGGATCTGAATGCTTCTTTTCCATGCACTTGAACCCACCACTTCTCTGGCAGACTTACTGTTCTGTGATATGACTCTGGTCCTTTGCAAGTTGCTCCTCAAAGCTGACTTGTTTCACAGTCCATTTATCACATAAGTGAATATTACTTCTTTTTTAGTAAAATTCCTGTTTTATTTTGTAGTCTGCTTTGCTCTTCACATTTTCACTTGCTGTTCTCAGTGAATAGTAGAGCACTGCCAATGAACGTTCAGCACTTTGACAGCCTGTTTCATGTGCTGCTCTGGCTGCTGCTTGTCAAGGCTCTTTTTTATGCATTTCCCCCCTTTTCTGAAGGTGAATAGTCATGTGTTGAAAGAATAAAGCTTAAAATCCTCCAAAAATGCTGAATTGAACACGCTGCAGCCAGTATCAGAAGACTGTTTTGTAGCCTGGTCCTGTGTGCTGTTCAGATTAAATCCCATTGTGTGATTTGCAGCTGACTGATTTGGGAATCATTTGTGTTATTTTGAGGATTTAATTCCTGCATGATGCCTCTGAGAAGACTGGTAAATAAATTATAGGTGGGAGAACTGATCTCCCTCTAATACTATTTTCTGCTTTTGTAGTAATATTGTAAATGTCCAGGTACTACACTGGAATGCCCAGTCATGTTGTCAGAGGCAGGAGTGGAGGCACTGCTGCAGAGATTCCCTGTGCTTAGAACACATGGTTGCAGCTCTGGCAAATATTTTGCTCCCTTCCAGCTGTTCCTAGACAGCAGAAGTGGGATGGACTAGGTTGCTGGCTAGCTGTACCTGCTGTGGGAATGCTTTCAAAGCCCAGAGCATTGTCTGGCTCATTTCAGGCAATGCCGTTAATACCAACTTCTACAGAAACTCCCTTCTGTCATCAACCCAAATGCAGCAGATAAAAACTGAACCAGCTTGATTCCTGGGCAAGGCATTTGTGATTTAACACTGAGGGAGGCATGTTCTGTCAGTGTGGTGAAGCCACGGAGTGACATGTCTGCAGGTCTTCCAGGAACCCCCAAATTCGGGTGTTGCTGCAGGATTTCTGTGTCACTGAGCACTGGGTGTTTGTCTGCAAAGCCCCTTGGAACAGACCCTGGTGGCATTAGTGACTCCTGAGGTTCTACATCTCTTACAGCATGTGCCGTCACTTAATGTCAGCTTTAAGTCATCTTATCATGAGTTTTGGAATAAATTTCTCAAAAAAGAGTGCTTTGACCTTTTTTTTCCCCCCTTCTCTTTCCACAGGCTGACGAAGATCCTATCATGGGGTTCCACCAGATATTTCTATTAAAGAACATCAACGATGCCTGGGTTTGCACCAATGACATGTTCAGGCTAGCATTGCACAACTTCGGCTGAGCTGCCCAGCCCGAGGCTCCCGTGCTTTTTTTTTTGTTTTGTTTTCGTTTTCCTCCTCTCCTCCTAACTGGTATTATTCACACTCACGGAACATTCCAAATATCATACACAAACCTGCAGCACTGCAGAGCGTGAGCAAGCAAGACTTGTGACCTGCCCTTCTGCTGAGTTTACATTGTCACTAGATGAGTTTCTTGTGCATGATGTTTGGAAGTTAGACTTAGCTGCATTTGATAAAGAGAAATTTTGTGTTGTACCAGCATGCCTCGGAAAGAATTTATAATGCAAAAGGTTGTTGTTTATGTACTGACAAGATGCTCTTATAACCCAAAGAAATGAAAACAGCAGCCTGTACAGCCCAGTTATTGATTTGTTCAGATGTTTCAATGCTACGTTACACAATAAAACAGAGATTTTCTTAAAAGTTTAAATTGTTTTAATGAGTTGGCTATGGACTGTGAGTTGGCTATGGAGTGTGTGGTGCTGCTGGCTGCGGATATCCTGTGTATGCCTGGTGGGGAGATGCTTGCAGACTGAACCTGGAGCTGAACAATGCCTGGAGCTTTACCAGAGACTGCAGGCAGGTCATACACCTTTTCACCTCCCTCTCAGCACCTTTCATAACGGAGACTTCTAGCTCAGCGTTGAACAGCGACTGGGTTACTTCTCAGCTGTTGCATGCCACCGAGGCAAACGCCTGCAGTAAGGCAGGGGGCTGACAGCAGTGCCGGAGCCCGCAGTCAGCCTTCACGCCGTGTTTCCTCCGCCGGAGTCAGCCCCGTGCTGCCCTCCCGGCGTTCGTGCCCGGCCCCGCAGCCCTGGGCAGGCCGTGCTCTGTGCCCTGGGGCTGGGCCGTGCCCGGTGTGTGCAGCGCTGCTCTCGGGGCTGGGGCCGTGTCCCCGACCGGCGGCGCGGCTCCGGGCCCGCGGGGAGGCGGGGGAGCCCGGGCCGGCCCCGCCCGCCGCGCCGGGAACGCTCGGCTCGGGCGGCGGTTTTCCGCCCGGCGCTCTCAGGGCGGGCCGGAGGCGGAAGCGCGGGCGCGGGGCCGGGCCGGGCAGCGCGGTGTCGGCGGCGCGGGCGGCGGCGCGCCGCCCATGGCTCCTGCTCCCCACTCGCATCGGGACGCACGCGCACCTGCGGGACACTCAAGCGGACCCCCGCCGCCGGGCGCAGGCCGGGCCGGGAGGCGCAGGGCATGGAGGGCTGGTCACGGGCCGGCCGCGGGGACCCCTGGCGTGCGCCGCCGCCGCCGTTGTCCTGGGGCTTTGGGCCGGCACGGCCCGCTTCTCCGCGTGGCGACCCTGGCGGCGGCCCTGGCCCCGCGTGGGCGGTGGTTCACCGGGCGGAGAAGCCGGAGAGGGGGCCGAGCGTGGCGGCCGACGCAGCCGGGGGCGGTGGGGCCGCGGCTGCCCCGGGGACCCGCCTGGACAGGAGGGGGGTCTGCGCTGGGACAGAGAGGGAGCGGGGCGGACCAGAGCTCGCTGCTGGCGGGTGTCTGGGCGCCTTTCGGCAGAGAGATGCTGCTACTGGGAGCTGAACAGCACCGACTTCTGCTGAGACACAAATCCCCCCCGTTCCTGGGAGTGCTTGAAGTGTTCCCCAGGGGGCTGGGCTCAGTGGAAGGGGCTGTCAGGCTGCTCTGAGATCAGTGCCGTGTTCACCCTTACACAGACTTTTCCCTCTCCTTAGTTTTGTGTGAAATGGGATCACAAATATCTTTCTTGAAGTGGTTGTGAGTCTTCTCCCAGTGCTTTGAGCTGTTATACATCTCTGTTCAGAGTCCAGTGGACCCCTTCAGCCTGTAAGAACATCAGCAGCAGGCTCAGGAGTCAGCAGTGTGGTGTTCCCCTCTCCTAAGTAGCCTAAGCTCTCTTTCAAGCCTCTCATTGCTTTTTGAACCTACCACAGTGTTTCAGTCAGACCTGGTCAGGAAGAGGCCCAGACCATGAGTGCTCTGCAAAAAAATCTTAGCCTCTGGGTAGAGGAAAGAATTTATACCCCTGTTGTGTTCCTGTGGAGGGAAAGGCAGGAATAATGTAGCTTTTAAGTATCCTGATAGTCATTAGGAATATGCTACATCCAAAACAACTGCCATGTGTGCTGCCTTATGCTTGGCCAAGAGGAGAGGTTGGGTGTGGGATAGTTGTGGGAGAGTTGCAGAGGCACGTGGAATGATGGAGCAAGCCTGGAGTAAGGCAGCCTCATTAGCTTTACTACCCATAGAGAAACTTCTCATTACTTGGAGTCATTTCTATTGTTTCTGGAGTGCTTGAATGTTCCTGGATTATAATTCTTGTAAGAAAAATACATTTTTCCCTCACAGTGCAGCACTCTGTACTTGTAAGACTGAAAGGAGAACTCTGTGCGGGGATGGGGAACAACTTTTTTCACTTTCTGAACTGAAAGGATGTGTCACTGTTGGGAAATGGTTGTAGTTATTGCTGAAAAGTGACTTGACTTTCTCTGAAAGAAGCTTCTCCTGCTGGCCGAAGCCAAGGAGTTGACAGAATATGGTTGTATTTCTTTTCTTCTGCCCTGTTCATTCTCTTTTTACCTTCTCTGTTGTCCCTAGTGCACTAAGAAGGCAGTTGAGAGGAAAAGGAGCAAATGGGCAGAAAGTCCACAGAAGGAACTTGTGCTGGTTCTCAGCAGGAATCAGTGCCTGGCTAATGGCAAATAAACTCAAAAGAACTGACATAATAAGGTGAAGGGGAAGGACACACGTGTTAACTGAAAGCCTCTGGAACTCCTCTTAGGAAGTCAGAGGAAGGGGACAGTCTGGGATCCTTCAAGGTTTGTGAAGGAAAATAAAAGCAGCCTCGGGAATCCCGTGTGTAGGGTTAATCTTACCTGGCATGAAGTTGCTGTGGTCAAGGCCCTCTCTGGTTCCAGTTGCTGTTATACCCTGGGTTTCACTTGCAGATTTTAGTGCCCACTGGACACTGGTGTAGCTGTTTCCCAAGGTTGAAGGAAGTTTTGCAGTACTGAGTGCATGTAGCTGTGAGCAGAATTATGTTACTCTGGGTCCCGTCCAGACGGGTGACAAGAAACACTCTCTGCTCTAAAGAGTTTGCAACTGCCACGATACTCTTTAGATTCTGCTGGGTTTGGTGATTGTGAAAATGTTATTTGCATTTGCTACCCCGGTCTCTTCTGACACAGTTTCTTCACAGTTTTGGCAAACATCACCCATTGCTTTGTAGCCCTTGCCCTTTTTCATGCTGTGCCCTCAGCAAGGGGCAGCTTCATGGTCAAACCATGGACCTCCCTCTGGAGCATGGAGACAGGCTATCAGTGCCAGCATGCTGTGGAGGAGCATCCCTGCTGGAGATTGGCAGGATCCTTCAATCCACACAGAGATCTCTGCTGATAACAGATGTGGGCTCACCCTGCTCGTGGTGTTTATCAGGGAAGTGTTGTGTTCAGTACAAACTGGCATCCCATGGTGCAGGTGATGGTGGGAGGAGGACAAGTTCAATGTCTCATCTCTGACTGCTCCTGCTCTTTGAAAAGGTAATGAGTAAAAACACTCTTCTTTCCCTTTTCAGGCCTGGATCTACCAGTCTGCGTTAACCTTTTGGCTTTGTTCGTGTTCTTACTAAAAGCTGAGCCTCTTCCCTTCTTTTATGCCTCCAGGATTGTGTGCCCACGGTTGTGTTTAGGTTTGTTACATGTGCCAGTGACAGTGGAGCTGCTGGTCCTGGGAGCAGCCATTTTGCAGGAGCTCAGCAGCACTTGTTACCTGGCAACAGTATACGAAATTTCGGTTTTCCATACCAGTGAAAATTTCCAGCAAGGATCTGCTGAGACAGGCGGCTTTGCCTGGGGTGTGCTGATGTGTAAGAGCAGAGGCAGGGGGCTCCTCGGCTATTTACCCTGCTAGTGAAGTAGAAGAGTCTCCTTGACCCCCTGTTGCAACTGTCCCCTTCTAAAGCCACCAGGCAACTTGTGCCAGGCCAGATGCAAGAAGTCAGGGCACAAACACTCTTCAAAGCACAGCTGAAGCTCTGAACAAATGGTTGCTTTACACCAAACTTGAGTGCTGTAAACTTCCATGTGATTGTTCGACAAAGAGAAAAATATGGGAATCCTGTAGGCACAACTGCACAGTTTCGTAGCAAAGTTACTTGAACACCTGGACTTTGAGGTCAGTTCTCACAGTCAGAAGCAAGTTCTGGAAAGTAACAAATGTATTATTTCCAGCCAGCCCCAAATGTGGCAGCTGATCAGTGTATTGCTGGACTTCAGAGGTCTCTCTGCAGGCCTGAGGGTTAGAAGTGGCCTGTGAAGAACCTTTTGGTCTGGCCCTTGATTCAGTGAACCTGAATTACCAGCTCAGTCTTTTTGATCCAAGACTGTTTGCTCCTTGAGCCTGGTAAGTTCCTTGTACCTGTTCTTTGGTGTTTCTCTGATCTGCTGGGATTGCTTGTGTAAGGAAAGCTACGACTTCACTCAGATGTGTGGGGGTTTCTCACATGGGAGATCCCTTACACATCCTTCTTGGAGAATACTTTTCCCAACCAATTCAGTATATTCTAGCTGGCAGACCAGTAAGGGCTGACAGAAAGCAGCAGTGTTATTTCTTTTAAATGAATGTTGGGCACAGCTGGTGATGCTTTTCCCCAGGTTCGGTGAATGAGAACCAGAGACCGTCGAATTCGTACAACGGAGACCTGAATGGGCTGCTGGTGTCTGACCCCCTTGGCAGCGGAGATGGACCTTCCCTGGCCAAGCCAGTGCATCGCAGCATCTCTCTAGGAGCCCTGCAGGAGAAACAAGTCATGTGAGTTTTGTCAAAGAAATGCTGAGAGCAAATAGAAAACAGCTAAAATTCAGTTTTGGTGAGCCAGGATACTTATGCTGGGCATCTGACAAGGAGCTTTACGTTGAGTTCAGGTGGCAGTTGTGAGTCAGTGCTCTTGGTCAGAGCTTTTGTAGCTTTTGTGAGGCTGATGCATGGAGTGTGCCATCCTTGCAGCTCCAAACTGAAGAATATCAGCAGAGTTGTTTAGAGAAGGGGAAACAGGACTGGTTACGTGGTGGAAATTGCAGGTCAGGGTGGAAGTAAATCAGCAGGGCTCCGGTTGAAACTTGGTGTTCTCCTGTAGATTTCCAGCTGGACTCCTTCAGGGACCCCAGTCACCTGAGGGGTTACAGAGCTCGTGTAAGTAGCTTTTACTTGTGTTCTCTGGGCATAGTTTTGAGAGAGGATGATGCCATGAGAACCATGAGCAGCGTGCACTGTTTTGTTGATGAGGTTCAGTTGGTTGGTTTTGGTTTCTTTGCACCTTCCAGTGTTGGGTCAAGACTCCTTTAACCAAATGTAGGTCTGTGCTCAAGTCAAAAAACCTGGAGGTTTTTAAGCTGAACAAAGCAGGTGTTTGGCTCTCTCAAACCCATGACACACAGGGAAGGGAGACTTGAAAGGAGT